TATTAAAAATAAATTTCAAAAGTTTTTACTGTATGCAATTTTATTTTACAATACAATTTGTACCGATTGTATTATATAATGTTACATCTTCTGGCCTTTCTTTCGATTTATTTTAGCAAAAATTAATAATTTTGATTATAAGTGTATCACATCTTTTCAAAATTTAAAATGTTTTGAGTTCTCAGAGATACGAGTAGATCTCAATTCCAATTACATCGAATTTCTGCAGGTGAAAGTTTCTGTTGATGTTAAAATATTGCAACATTGGGCAGATAATCACTTGCTTATTACTAGATATCTACTTCTATTGATGCATAGTAATTACACTAGATTACTGATGCATAATAATTGCATTACATTGTATAGTGATTGTGTGTGAATCTTTTGTACCATCGTTCGTTCGTTTATTCTATATAGACTTTCTTGTGTTTTTACTATTGTAATCACAGGACTCAATATCTAATAGCGCTAATTATAAACGAAATTATAACCAATATATATTTATAATATTTGCGATATTCTAAAATCTGAGAAAACAATTACCGTCAATGGACAATTTACGACAATTCAATGTACTATATTCTCAAATAGTGTATCATTAATTCCCTTTCACTTTAAACATCTATCTTATTCCAAATAAGTAATATGATAGAAAGTATAATACTATAGTAAAAGAAATTTCCTCTTTTATGTCTGAAAAAACGTCTAGAATAATTTGTAAAATCGCAAGAGAAGATAAGGAATTCTCCAAAATAATCTACTATACTTACGAAAAGCTAAAGCAAATTACGAGCAAAATAAATTAACGAAAGAATAAAATCTAAGAGCTCCTTTGAACTCTTGTTTTTTTTTTCACAACGCTGAAATTAACATTCTTCGAGCCTCCGGAAACGGGCGCCGTGTTGCACATAAATATCATCGCGGCCTTCAATTCGTTATGTCACCATTCCGCGGCATGATATGAAAGGGAAAAAAATGGAAAAATTTATAGAACCCGTGTATATCTCGACACATATCTCGATTGGTGGTGTTTCAAAGAGAGTTGCATAGAGTCGTTAGTCGTGGTCGTAGTGGAGATACGGTATTGATTGTTGTAATTCCTCTCTGGAGAAGAGTCATGGATAGTTTCCTTGTGAAAATGTATGGAATTTGCTTTTGCCAGTTGCGATTGTTTCGTAATCAAGCAGAAGAAGTTTATGTCTCGCCAATGTTTCGTTCGATTGTAGTGATGCTTTATTTAACACTGCATTGTTTTTTTGTTTCTTGGTCGGTATTGATCGATGACAAGTATAGATATCAGCATTCTCGCGTATTTGTGGAAACTTTAAAAATACAAGAATGTACAGAACGCATAAAGTATTTAACAATAAGTGTGGTACAATCTAAAGCATCTAAAATACAGTACAATCTTTAATAAACGAAAGAAATCTGTATTTTTGTAATTGAATTTATAAAAATTTGAATATGCATAAATATTCATAGTTTACGTGAATTCTTGTTTTATGTAGAAAACTGGTATAAATAAGGTGGAATCTTTTTGTATTATAATTCACCAAGTAGTAGATTACAACAATTCATAAAATTCTATAAATTAGGTATACAAGTTAATATTATTATATATGTACATTTTGTAAATTCTGGTGTACTTCATAAACTAATTAAGTTTTTTTATTTATTACATATATATTGTCTTATAACGCAATAAAAATTATATTATGAAATAGACAGTAAACTTTTACGATTTTAATCTGTAAAATTGAATCTTGCATCATAGACGAACTTATTCTTCTTATATAAGATAATTTATTATTAATTCAGTGGAAGAATAATATTTGCAAACAGTTACAATTTTTACAAAAAACAAAGGTAAATTTTAAATTTTGGAAAGTTTAAAATAACTTAAAACGTCTTTAGACATTTCTTTAGAGTACATTACATCGTCAGTAGATGACATTCTACCATTAATCTGTTTAATCCTCTTTGAAAGGCAATAAATCACGCAGAATCACGTCGATCGAAAGAATTATAGTCACGTTTGTTCTACCGTAATTTGCTACACCAGCTTTGATTATCTATCTCACATAAATTAGAAATAATCATGAATTAAAATACATGAGTAATAGATTAAATTAACATCGATCCATCACATTTCCTGTAATCTGAGTGGCAATGTGTTTTTTCATAATTAAACAGGAATAAAAATTTTTGAACAAAACTGTGACAATTTCTTTCGATTTTTATTTCTGTTTTCCAATCTTTTTCTTACAAACATTTCATTAATCGATGATTGGCTGTTAATAGGCATTCTATTTCAATCATTGGATACAGGATTGAAAGCAATAAAAGCAAATTCAAAATAAAATTAGAAGCAATAAATTTTTTTATTTCACGTCTATAATAAAGTTACGCATTGCGAGTTTCTTCTTATTGTTAAAATGCAAACGACAATTACATGTTTGTAACGCTTTTAAACGCAATGTTTTTATTGTGGCAACGTCATTTGATTTGCAGGTGATTGGATAAGTAGCAATACATGTCGTAAAATGAAAATACGTCTATCGACCAGTTTGTAAAACATACGGCGATATCCGAGACTCGGTTTACGGAATACTTCTTGAACTTCGTGAACAAGCGACACCGTTATCGAGAGCTTTGGAAACAGTCAGCAATTCGCTAAAGAAAACACAAAATTCAAGCGAACGACGCGACGCGAAGAATGGCATTTAATCGTACGATACCGTGAAATCTTTTAAATATGCTCCATTTACGGAGTATTTCAACGTAATTGAATTCGAGTCGACAATTCGAAAATTACGTTCAGTATGCATTTAAATAATTTTGCTGCATTCTTTAAGTATGAAGGAACTACGTTTGAGTCGATTTTAAGTTAAATTTAAAGATATTCGATTGGCAATAATAATTAATGGCATAAAATTTTCATAAGAGACGTAATACTATTTCATTAAAAAAAAAGTCACGTAATAAATATACGGAACATAAAAAAATACACAGAACAATAAACTAGTTAGAGCAGGTTAATGTACAAATTTCAATGAATCACGAGCAAAACAATAAAAAAAGGCTGAACGTATTAAATAGTCAGCCGTATCTATCACGTAAGTGCAGGATTATGTAATTTTGTCATGCTTAATTATTATCTTACAACACTGCGGTTTCCGTCACACGCGTCAGTTTGAATTATTCATTTTCCAATCTCACCGTTTCCAATCGATATCTTTCCGTGACATTTCACGTTTTAACGCTACAGTTTCCGTTTCGATGAATTACCCATATGAATTTCTCCTTTGGCTGTTGCAGGGAGAAACGCGACCAGAGTAAAATCAAAAAATGAATTAAACGTGAAGGAAAGTTTACTCGAAATATAACGTGTGATGCGGATTTCCTTGCGTTTTTATATTTTTATGACCATAACTGGTCGTACTGGAACTTAAGTGGAAAGTTGTTCTATCTGCTAATTATTACAAGGATAATTTATAATATTTTATATATTTGTTACATCGCGTGTATTTTTAGTCTTTGAAAGATATGAAAATCAAATTCCTTATTAAAATTAAAAAAGCATCTTAAAGTATCTTTAAAGATGTCCTTAATTTTCGAATAATTTTTTAAATTGTTTGTTTAGTAACATTTTTAATCAACAAGTTAGGAACTCCACCTTAAATTTGGCACGTATACTTGCTCACCATTGATCTTTCAAAGCGGAAACTAACATACAACAGCGTAACACTCATAGTGTGTGGTGTGAATTGTAAAACCGTTATGTAAAAGTCATGACATTTGTATTAACACATCGTCCACTGTCATGGCTACCGTTTCTTGTCCACTGTCAATAACGAATCTTTTAGAGTCCCGTGTTTTAAACATCTTCGTTCCCAAAGTAGTGCTATGGCGAAAATTGTGTCAGTCAAACAAGAACTTGGGAGTTCTTTGAAGTTTCTTTACGTCAAATTGTTACGTTCAACATATCATTTATTGAATTTCTTTGAATTCTTCCTCTGTCTGCAACAATTGTTTGTTACATTCTGCAATACTCATAGTAACATAAGTTGAATATTCACGAATATTACGAATGTCTTTTTAGGAGTTGGAAATTTTTTTAAAAATTTCATAAATAAAATTGCACAGCGTAATGAACACTACTACTTATCTCTTCTATTATTTCCTTATACTTACCATCGTGCTCTCTCATCCGGTATTAATTAATTTAATTTTTCTTTTAAATAAATCAATCTCGGTAAATAGGTTTATAGCACATAATGAGCAATTTTTGTTACATGTATATAGGTTTATAAATTACATATATAGGTTCAAACGCTGGAAGGAATAGATAGTTTTCATCGTCTAATGATAAACGTTCGTTTAATATTATTTTTCACGAGTCATTCTCGATAAATGGTTCATTATATCCGTGTAACGTGGCAAATCTCGAAGTTCATTTGAATATTTACATCTGTTCGATAATCAGCTAATGGTTATCGGATGTAGTACAGTATGCTCAATGATCATGTACGGAAAAACAGCTGACGCATTGCATTGACACGAGTGGAGGTGCAAAGTTGGTCGTCTGTAAGCAACGGTATTATGTACCACGAAATAAATATGTCACAATCGATTTGGTAGAGCCTGACATACTTTTTTGTGACGAAATTCACCAATGTTGTGAACCTTGATTATTCTTGCTTCGTCCTCATTAATGTTTCATAACGCTACTTGAGAATGTTGTAAAAATATTAGGAAAAACATTTAATCCTTGAAACACCAGAATGAGTGGAATTTCATTTGAGATGAACCAAAATTAATTAATTCATTAGTTTTGCAAATAAATATAAATCATCAATGAATCTGTATTTCTCAAAATAATAAATCAATTAATTTGTGCCGAAAATTATAAGTTATAAGTTTTACAAATAATGTAATGATAATCTATCAATGGTTCAGTCAGAATTGTATGAATAATACGGTCGCTTTCTTTTCACCAGGAATAAGAAGCATGCAACGGTGACGCAGTATCGTTAAAAAATATGCGTGGTGCTTGATGCCATTCTTAATATTTGATTGGAAGCATACGCTGTTATTACTTACGGAACTCTTAAGCACGACTGATCGTTCTTCCAAAACAGCAGAATGATGCTGATCAAGAGTTTCTTCCGGAGGATCATCAAAGACTTCCGGCATAAGGAGTTGTTACCTCTTAAAATGATATTCTTCGTTCAAGCATCGAGTAAGTATCTCTTTTTCAATTATTTAATCGTCAATTAATCAATTGAAACTCATTAAACTCTAATAATTTTGTTGTTAACATTTATTCTTTTATATTTAATATTAAATTTGTTCTAATCAATTATTTCCAAAGACATTTTACTTGAAACTTAACATATTACTTTTTTGCAGTCAGCAAAACTAGGTCGTAAATGTCTCTTTAGTATTTTTTACTTAAGATATGTAAATGTCTTTTAGTAATTTTTTAAATCACCAGAGTCAACGTTAAAAGTTATGTTAAACATTAACAGATATGCTAAACAATATCTCGTTGCTAATTTACTTCGGTTACATTTACTTTTTCATAAATAATTTGACTGAAGAAATTGTAATGCTAGCTCGAACATTTCGTAAAATCTTAAATTATGTTTTTAGCATTTCGTAAAATCTTAAATTATTTATTAATAATTTTTAAAATAAATTCTGGTATTTCCTTCTCTTGTTTTGTTTTCTTCATATTTGACCATCTTTACTGATAATTAATACCGACTACACTAATTTCTCATATGGATGACAATTTATGTTTATTTATATTACATAATAATTCGAACGAATATTTACTATTCTATAGAATCCTGTGTTCATTTATTAAAACAGTTACTTTATTACAATTATTCTCTAACATCAATATAAAGCAATTTTATTTATAAATCAGGTACATATTCAATGCAACATGAATGAGAAATAATTAAAATAATCGCTATTGTATTTTAGTTCTCTCTTAAACTCTCCTGAAAGTGTTATATTTTGCGTAATATAAAAACTAATATGATAAATTACTTTTCATCATATAATAAATTATTTTTCAATCATTGTTTTCAGCGCTTTATGTACTTTATCCATATCTGACGATACACATGAGAGAGCTTGGCATAAACGTGGAAGAAACTGCCATAATGAGCGCTATAACGCCGGTGATCGCAATGGTGATGCCACCCTTGGCTGGAATGTTCGCCGATCGCGTGGGGAATTTCAAAGTAAAACTCCGTTAAACACCGCTCGAATAAGTTATAAATTGTTGTTATGTAATAAATGTCGTTTTCGAGTTAAAAGGTGCTGCTAAGTATAGGCCGCTTTAAAATGAAAATTTTAACCATCCATTACATTATAAATCGATACTTTTTTTGCTGTTTCATCGTTGTATAACTTTGTCGGCGTTAGCTAAATCATTGCAAACTCCAAAACTTTTGAAAGAGAATAAATGATTAAATGTGTTTTACGATTTTGAAATTAATAACTCTAAATAAGATCTAGTTAAAAAGCAAACATTTACCATCTGATATCCTACGTTCAGATGCGGTAGTATTATAAAATCTGAATTTTTATATAATACGAAAGTCGAAGAAATTATTATTCTCCACTGTTCAATGATATTAGTTTAATTTTTACACATTTTTAACGTTGTCGTTGTTAAAACTTTTTATATAGTAAAAACTTCCAAGCACGAATTTCATTTTCCGAACACAGATGACCTTTCTTCAAATTTTATCTTTAACTCGATTCGCGATGAAGTCAAGAAAAGGAAGAGGCAAAACTAACGATATTTTCATTCAGATCCTGCTATCTCTGTTCTCGTCGTTCGGCGGAGTCGCGGCCTTACTATTGCTGCTCGTACCGATTGGCAGGATAACTGTGGAATTTCCAGACAGAGTCGTTATGGACCTCGGCTGTACAGGGAATAATGGACTGCTTTACACCATGAGCGAGAATCATCCTTGCGAGACAAGCTTGCAGTCGAAGATCTCCACCAGGATAGAGAGTTGCGGGTAGGTAAGGACGCGTGTTCGAACGATTCTGCGTTTACACAAACCAGTTTTGCTTGTTGATCATTCGATATTCTTTGGAAGATTGAATCTAAGTATAATTTCCTTCGCGCGTCTTGATGAAAAATATTAGACTGTAGTAAGTTTATGAAAAATGTATGATATTCTAATGAGTTGATCCAAAATTGATATCATTGAAGTGAGAGTTTGGATTTGGATTGAGCTACCTTAATATTATATGAAATGCCAAATACAAAGGAAATATTTTAAAATCAAATTAATTGATTCAAACTATCATTTGAACTGTTTCAGATATTTGTTTGTTAATTTAATTCATTCACGAGCAAACAAAAATTATCTTATATCAATAATAACTACCAACATTCGTCATTACAGCTTTTAATTAAAAACATTTAATCTGTTCGTTTATAGTTACATGTGTCGTCTAGACGTTCATAATGACACCGAAGTACAGTCAATTTTGTCATCAAGGATGTACACGATTAAACGATACAACATGGAGACAGGCGCGAATTCTTCATTCAAGTTTTCAATTTCTCAAGATGAGATGCCCCAGGTAGCCTTCTAATTAAAAGAAAAATAGAAAAACAATAACAAAATAGTGAAACTACATCATTGTCTTTATTAGAGACAATAAAACGGATGGTTTCAAATTTCAATGAATAATTTGGTTACTAAAGAACTAACTCGACGGTTTTTATTTTTAATTAATCAAATTAAAAATCAAATTAATTTTAGTTTTGATATAATATCATGTTGAAATATTCAAATAAAAGAGAATTTGACTCTGACATAATGCAGTTTCACTAAAAAAAATTTATATATTTTATAATATTGTATAATTGTCATAAAACAATTTTATCAAACAGAATTATAAATTACATTCAATGTAATTTTTTGTAGGAAATAGAAGATGATTTAAGAGAGCACCGAAAACTAAAAAACAACGAGTATTTCAAGACGTCGATTCGTCAACTATCAGCAAACGAGTACTTTTTCCCATCGAACCAACTGTACGAGTTTTCATGCACCGTGTCGGGCTTTATCGAAGATTTCGAAACGTCAACCCTAAATCCTGCCATGTCGAACAGAATATATGAGAATCGCACACTTTGCGCTTTCAATCCAATTGTGTCTCGCAAGGTGAAGTATATAAGATTAAAAAGTACTGGATTGAAAAAATATTCAATATCTGTTTCAAAGAAATAGGAATTGAGATAACTATAAAATAATTAAAGAAAATTATCACTTAACGCTTATTTCGAAAGTAAGAAAGATTCACTGTTACGTCTTATTTTATATTGATACAGCATGTTTTACAATTGTTCTATATGTTATTTTTTATTACCATTACTGTTATTGCTTTAAACAAAAGTTTCTTAATTTCGAACAACGATTTATTATTGCCATCATTTAAAAAATTAATCGTGTTTCTTCTTCAATTGAATTATTATTTTATTTTGTCTACGTTATATTATACATTATATTCTATTCCTTGTATATTAATTATTACATTATAATATTCAGGACAGTGACAATGAAACGACGAATTATCATTCGTACAAATCGAAATTAAAAATTTTGGAAGCCACGGAGGAAGATCATGAGATGAAACGACGAAGATATTTGTCGGAAGAGATCGCATGGGCAGGAAAGGAATTTCAGAAGATTACCTGCGGAAATCCTGACCTGGAATCCGACAGGATATCTCTGACTCTACCACTTTTTAATTATTCTTTAAGCTCAGAGCCGTTTAAGACTCTGAACGCGGAAGATTGTAGCAAAAGATGCGTCGTTACAGCACCTCGCAAGGAGATGTGCTCGAACACAAAAACATTGATCGAATATAACGTTGGACTGACTTTCTGGATGTATTTCGCCATTAGAGTGTTCATCGGTGAGTGTTTTTCTTTTTATCGGATTTGTATTTTTAATTAATTATTACTGTTTAAATTTTAGAAAAAGTTAAATGAGCAATATTATCTAATATCATATATTAATGTATAATGCCCTTGCAGTTCTGAGTGAAAACCAGTTTACAGTCATATTGTTGGATTTGTATTTTTCATGATGAAGCTAGTTGGAAAATACATGGAACCTGTTTTCAGCATAAAATAGGACTAGTTAGGTTACATTGCGACAGTAAAAAAGTTGACTTTGATTTCGTGTAGAATTACAGTTATTAACTCTGGCTGAACGAAAAATTTAAAATTATTTTATGCCAAAAATATAAAATATAACATAACATACTGAGTTGTAGTATTTGTTTGCAAAATTAATTTTTTGATATTATATAGAAAATCTTTTACAAAATTTAAGTCAATTTTTATTTTAAAATAGTGTAATAAAATAATTATATTCTTATTAATACTCAAAGAAACTTAATGAATTATAAAAGATCTTTTACTAAAATTTAAAACAATTCTTTACATTAAATTATTATGTATGTATCAACGAAGTACAAAACTTCTTAAAATAATAATTTAATTTACAGGTGTTATTGGTGGTACCACATTTGCTATGTTCGAGGGTGCAGTGATTGCCATATTACGCGAACAAAAGGCCGATTACGGTCTTCAAAGGATTTACGGCAGTATCGGTGGTATGATATCATCACCACTTTCAGGACTTCTTATCGATTATGCAAGCGTTGGCAAAGGTTACACGGATTTTAGGTAAAGATTCATTTCTGGAAACATTTTTCATCTTATTTCTATAAATTTTTAATAGTGTGAAGTAGTTTTACCTCTTTCTTTTTTAATTATTTCCTTTCCAATTCTTCAATTATCTTCTTTTTAATTGTCACATCATAATTAATAATTCATTGTATGAACCGAACAAATGTAACACAATATTTGAATTCCATTTCATTTTAGAATAAAAATTGTTACAGATGATGCATAAATTTTCAAAAATTCTACATTTTCCAGGCCAGCATTTTACCTGTATGCAGGACTGAAGCTAATCTCAGGATTGTTAATGCTCGCCATTAATTTGGAATTCAAATCACCAGCCACGAATGTAGTCCGCGACGTTTTCACGGTATTGAGGAACATCGAAGCTGCAGCTCTCTTCATCGCCTGTTTCATCCTCGGTAAGAAAGCTTTCCTTATTTTATTTTTTCCTTATTTTACATTTCCTTGCTTTAATCCTCAGAATAGCAAATTGTGATATCAGAGTTTCCTTTTACAATTATATTTTTGCTAACGTATTTATTTTTTAATTCTGTAATTGCTTTCCTTTCTTACTCAGATTAGTGAGATTAACAACTTAACATGAAGTCAAGAAACAAATCGTCGTTTGGTTTCTACGAATTCTCAATTCTTGATGAGTTTGCAAAAATGTACGCTCGAGTAAATTACGCAATGGTCATCATTGCTCATTTCCGCCAATCTTTGGCACACACTGGTCAACTAACGAAATTGCAGTGACATTGACATTCCGCATCGATACCGCGAAATTACGTGCACTTTTTAAGCGATTAGGCTTCAAATGTTATTGCATTATCTTCCTTTTATTCTTTTTCATTTCTTTTTTTTTTTATTAAACATTTCATGCGAAGTTTATTTAAACATTAATAATTTCCATTAATAATTTGTTTTTATGAAGATACTGAATGGTAATAAAAGAAATTAAAAATTCCAAGAACTGTAAAAAGGCTCAAGACAACTTTTACAGTCATTTGTAAAATAAATACTGGAGAAGTTATAGTACCTAGTAACCGCACATCATTAAAAAGTTTCATCAGTTTTTCCTTCGGTATTAAATATTTATAAATGCAACAGTTTCTTAGAAGCGTAATCTTTTTTTCAAAAGAATATCTTTGGTTAATGAGTTTAACGCATGTTGTATGTCGATGACTTTTACGAGATAAATTTTTTTTCTGCAGGTACTGCTTGGGGATACATCGAATCGTTCCTCTTTTGGTTGATACAAGATTTAGGAGGATCAAGATCACTCATGGGTATCACCATAACCGTAGGCGGTATTGCCGGTATACCATTACTGGTACTATCTGGTCCAATCATATCAAAGATCGGCCATGCAAATGTACTTTTTATAGGCTTCGTTTTTTACGCCATAAGACTTTGCGGTAAGCGTTCAACTTTTTAATTCTTAAACGCAAGTCTACATCATCTGCATGATACTGACGATAAACGTAGAACTCTTTCTTCCCAATAAAACTAAAAAGAGCAAACGAAAAAAAAAACGACTGGCCATTAAAAAACTTTATTTAGGCGCACTTAACATTTTGGAATGTATGATTCGACTTAATGATAACGCCGGAACATCACGTACACATGTAAATGAAAGAATGAGAAAATTGATGTTAGTATATTTAATCGGGAAGTTCTACTAAATTATGCGTTGCTACAAGATTGGACGGAAATGACAAGAAAAAAAAAAGGAGAATGCGGCTTTGAAAAAGATTCTAAATTTTTATGATAGAATATGTAAAATTTGTTAAGTTGTTTTGTACTGCTTGTAATTTTTATTTGTTTTCATTTTACAGGATACTCATTGATATACAATCCTTGGCATACTCTTATCTTCGAAGCTTTAGAATCAGTCACTTTGTCACTTAGTTTCACCGCCGCTGTTACTTATGCAGCGAAATTGTCTACTACTACCACTGACAGTTCGATACAGGGATTATTAGGTGGAGTTTATTACGGAGTTGGTAAGGAATTCTTTCTTTCCAATATAGATTACGTAGTTATTTGGATTGGTAATCTCTTCGATGCAATAATTTTTTTATATTGTAATCTCGTAAATAATCATTCGCTTTCCATTCTTACCAGACATCAGATACCAATTAAATCATTTAGAAGTAATTATCTCTGCTAAAATAATATTGGCAATTTATTTCTGTTTTAATTTCATTCGCAGAAGTAATCATTTACCTCTTTCACTTATTACTTTTATTCTCACATAGTGATAATTATTTATTAATGCTAGGCAAAGGCTCAGGAAGCTTGATCGGTGGATATCTAATGAAAGCCTTCGGCACTCGACCAACCTATCGAATCTTCTCAGTGATAACTCTCATCACCGGTATAATGTACTACATCTTCAACGTAGCTTACCTCAAAAAACGGCCACAAGTCGAAGGTAACGACATCGTGAAGAAAAAACCCAAAAACTTGGAAAATCAAAATGGTCTTGAAAATGGTATCATCGAGATCGGTTTAGAAGAGAAGAAACAATCAAACAATGAAGACAAAAAGAACGAATCGAATAATGTAAGTGGAATCGACAATCAGGCTTTGATCAAAGAAAATGATGGTGTAAAATCTTCAAAGGAAATAGAAAATGAGAAAACGCGAAACATAGAAGCTATCAATAACGCGAAAAATCTTGATAAGATCGAGAGAATGCCATCTGAAGAAAGTAAGAAAAAATTTGGAGCGAAACGATTGAAAAAAATGCAAACTGACGAATGTGACCGAGCGAAAGAGTGCTCGAAACAAAATGGAACGGCGAATCCAAGTTTTGAAAGTGACGAATTTAGGTGTAACGTTACTGTAGAGAGGCAACCAGAAGACGAAAAGTGACAAAGTTCCTCTAGAGATCTCGATACTCTTTCTTTTCTTCGTTCTTCACCATGAAACCACTTTTGTACCATTGAAGACGTATATAAATGAGATTGTAAGGAATGTAAATGTAATGTAATTCTGTGTGTACGTTTTCACACTGTACACATATTTGATGGATGTCCAAGTTTTTGTATTGTTGATAATTATTCGAACATGTTTGATTTTATAGAAAATGTGAAAATTTTTGTAGCAGTTGTTATTGATTGTTCAGATCTGGTTAGTATATTTGATTTAAATTTCAAGAAAAATGATTTTGAAAAGTTTCATAAAGATGATTGATTACAAATGATATAAAAACATTTGATATTACTTTATATTAAAGTATACTACGAATAAATTTGAAATAATGATTGAATTTATTGCTATTGGAATAATTACAAGCAATATAATTTGAAGTGTTAGAAGTTATTTACTCAGATCGATCTTGCTCGAAAAATTTCTTCGGGACTATTGCATAATTGCAAATAGCATCGTGCATGTACTTCACACAATGTCAGATATCGAATTAATTTTATTCTACTTGTTAAAAATAATGTAAAATCTCTATTTTATATCTACATATTTTTTTCTAAGATCAAGATGATATCAATATATTAATATATTCAGAATTTTTATACATGCAATAATTGGTAAAAATTTTATGCATTATAAATACAGTTGCTATTATTGTAAGAAATGCCAAATTGCCAAATTATTGCATAAATTTATATAATTAATGTTGTTAGAGACTTTTAAATGTGAACTGCCTACTTTTAAAAAATGAATTTCAGATTTTTAATTCGAAATTGTAGTTTGAGATGCTGAGCTATTATTACGAAAGATTATAGTGAAGAATAAGAAACATTATCATATTATCATTGACAGCACTTTATTTTAAGTACTAATAGTACAATTAATGGAAAAACACAAATCGCAGAAAGATATTTTTAATAATAAATTACCAAGTAAATATTATTATTAAAAGTATTATGCAAAATAAATTAATGACCTTAAAATACTCATAATATGATAACGGAAGACATAATATTCAGTATTATGAAAAAATATTAATAATAACAATGCTATGAATCTTAAAAATATTCTATAGGAATAATTAACATTTTATAACTAATCAATTAGTTAAGATATATTAATGAAACATTGTAATTGTTTTCTAACAAAATGTGACATACTCAAACATCTCTAACAATATTAATTATAAAATCTTCCTCATAAAATCATATATCAAAATGTTTAATATATTCCCAAAAGTTATATACAATTTTGTACAAACATTATTCACACAAATTGATTATTTATAAATTGTAATTAATTATTTTTAATAACCAAGGAAACAAAATATCAATATATAAACGCAAATTCTATCAGAACAAATACGAGTGTATTATAAAATTATTAAATGATAAGAAAATAATGACAGTTTTCCAAGGAAACCATGTGATATAATTATGCAGGAAATAGTGCGTAATTAGGAGTCTCCATAGCGTACAATAACTGATTTACATCGTTTATGAACAGGATAATTAGACAAATTATCCTGGTCCCTCGTAGTTCGAATAAATAAATAAACGAAAATAAAAATAACCAGAATTATTTCTTATTACATCAAACTCTCCCACAATATAATGAAGAAGAAAATAGCACAATATGATCCAGTTGTCGAAATTAAGGCAACTGTATAGGCTGTCTTTTTGAAAGAAAATTCCTTCCAAAAATTCTAAAGTACAGAATAATTTTTAGTACTTTACTGTAAATGTTGAGAGCCTAAATTTTGAAAGAAATTTCTTTCCAAAAGAACGTATGCAATATCAAAATCTACGTGATATAAAGTCTTAATGATTTCTTATCATAAATTCTGTTATCAATTTTCAAGTTTGAATAATCAATTTCTGATTAAGAATGGATGAAATATAATCCATTTCCTTCCTGTTTACATTTCATCAATTTCAATTACTTCGTAACGGTGTGTAATAATTTGCAAAAAGATTAGGAGGATTTTGTCAAGTCTCGTTTCGTCTGATTAACACTATCGCACACCTGAAAAATATTTTGTCACTGAAGTAGTCTCGCTCGGCGAACCAAAATTTAAACGAAACACGCGTTTCATTTACAAAAGGTAGAGAAAGAACGTCTGAACTTGAATTTCTGTTTCCAAATCAACATGAATGTTTTCAGAGAAAATTATAAGTGATGTTAAGTAACGACAGTAGGTGAAAATGGAGTTGGACAATAAATTAGCAACTTATCTCTGAACAGGTACAGTTACGAGTCTATATAGAAGACTTGAAACCAAGTTCCTCGATCATTCATCTTTGGATATCGTGGAAGATGATACGCGCATTAATTTCGGTGCTTTTAGCAAGTCTGTCGATTGTCTCGGTCTTACCTCAAGTGATGTCATATGCGAAAGTGTCGAAAAATGGTCAAGAGGAACCGGAAACAAGGAACGATCAGTGGATCGTCAGGTTAGATTATTGATCAATAGATTGTGGTTTTTTAAATTTTTACGAACACTCTCTCTAAGTTTTATAATATGTAAGTTTTATAACTTTACTGTGGATATTTTATATTGTATTCTTATATATTATCCATGTGCAGTGTGTTCATTTTTATATAAATACATAAATATTCACAATCTATTCCTGAGTTGGAAGATGATGAAAATTTAGGTTTATGTTAGGTTGTGTGATATGAGTGAAATGGCTGATAGATGTATACAAAGTGACATAATAATTATGATACGCGAATCTTGAAATGAAAGCATCATAATGATATAAAAAAAAAAATGTTATCCTACATTTGTGATTTGTTCTTTCACGCAGAATTACGATCAGAATTCTTGCTGATCGTACCATGACTATTGAAACATCTTTCCATATGTTTCTCATTTTTCTTGAGTGTAATATTTACTTCTAACTGTCTTTGATATTTTCATAATGTAATGTCAATATTTTATCAGCGATTTGATCTTGTATCATTTAACAATTAAAATGTCTAATTTGACATAGGAATAATTAGATTAACACTATATTTTTGTTTGTTTTTACCTAACAAAGTAATGGATCGGAAAACGGAGGTAGGAGCATCAAGAACATCGCGATCACTATGTCACCAGTGTATATTTCACCGAAAGTGCAGAACCTGAAGAATGGCGAAGCGATTAATTATTTCCCTGGTGGAAGGTATGACAGAAAATCTATTTAAATTCGAACTAAGAAATTTTTAAATATTCCAATATTAAAATATAAATTTAATTCAAAAATTGTATTTAGAATAATTCGCGAATTTAAGTTCAAATTTAAAAAATGATTTGATAGAAAATTTGAATTCGTAGAATTCATAGATATTTTATAATTGGGTAATAATACCGATTAAATCAAAATTGAATTAAATTTGGATCAAAAATTGTAACATATTTTTTATGTTTTCTAATTTATAGATACTCGACATTAGATCATGAATTAATAGCGCAATTGAACTCAAAGAAACAGATTCAAGATAGATACCATCCAGGACCAATTAATAATTTCAAATCCAAAGATCCACCGAACAACGTGAAGGAAAACTCGAAACCTGCGAGTCGTCCGAGTGATCCACCGACCGGTCCATCAATCGGTCCATCGTCTTCGGATATGTTCGACTTTTCTAAGCCAACATTTTCAGAGACCTACGACTACAAACCACCGGATTATATGAGCAGTAAGCCGATTTCAAAGCCGCCGGATTACCTTAGTGACAAACCGATCTCGAAGCCGATGTCAATGGACGATTACGCAGATTCTGAGATAAGTGACATGGTAAGTACAATATTTCTTGAATATTAAAACGTTCTAGTTGCTCTTTGAAATTCAATCTACATCTCCTTGAATCATTTTCCAAAGTTATATTTAATAAAAGGAGATTCAACATTAAAAATACATATAACCAATCAAGTTATATTTGACCAATTAAGTGACTAATCTTGATACTTTATAATTTTACTAATGCTATTTTAATATCAGTCAATTGAGATACTAAACTATCATTTTTATAATTTAGTTTTATATAAATGAAATTTTGATTACGTTCATCATCATATCACAATCATATAATGGTTGTATTAAAATAGAAATAATAACGGTTATATTAAATAGAGACATTTACTGTTCCTAAAATTTTGCTATTTAATATTACAATTCATATTAAGCTTCCAGCTGTCAAATTCTAATTCAATTATATACCAATGTTGAAACTTCGTATTAAGAATCGACCTAGAAAGTATACACACATAAAGAAAAAAGTTAAAATTACAATACATTACAAAGATATTTAGCCATCTCAAACATTATAATAAATATAAAAAATGGTCCCACAAATTTTCTAAAATTAAACACACCTCGACCCTATAACTTCCCAAAAATATATATACCACATATTTCGATACTTCCAACGATGCAATCTCAGTACATCGCGAAAGATCACCTAAATCATCATTTTCAGCCACCAGATTCCAAGAAACCGGATTCCTATTTCGCGTCCCACAATCACGAGTCCTCCGATTACACCGATTATTCGCCTGACACGTCTTACAACAATGACGCAGCACCGAAACCGATCGAGTATTCCGGTCATCTGGATCATCCTCCCTTTGACAACGACGATGACCATTCTTACGGTCATCATCATCACGACTTCCATCACGAGGTGATCTACGATCACATTCCTGAACACCACGAGCACATAGAGGCAGCAGAAGAAATGAACGATCAGAGGCTGAACAAGAAGCCATACTCGTATTATTACATAGGCAAAAAGCTTTGGTACATTCCACTGTACTTTAGCATTTATTTTATCATCTACATCGCGGCGCTGGTGTTGAAGAGTATCGCCAGGCACAAGATCACGTTCCCCGCGCATTTGGCGGATGCTGTGGATCATCATCATCATGCGAGGACGTACAGCGATTTCAGCTGGTGGGATTTTGGAGAGCAAGTGTTGCGAGGTATCGAAAGTTTCGCAGAGAAATACGGAAAGATTTCTTAGAGGTTTTTCTTTTTTTCTTTTTTTAATCAATTTGTTAAGAGTGAGGTTGAAGACAGATCAGTGAGTTTGCGAGACATGTAAGGAATATTTGAATCGTTGATATTTTTAAATCAAGTCCATCGCCAATTTTTGGAAGAATTTTAAAGAAATTCACATACGTTTGTTCGAGATCAATTGATCTATCAATCCGTTCCATCTTTGACTGACAGACTTTTTTGAAAAATGAAATCTAGCAATGATAGTGCTCTCTGCATCGACACATCAATCGAAATGAAGTAACACGTAATATAAGAGGATACGGAAAAAATTAATTCTGAACGAATGACAGTACCTACATATTTTTTATAAAATTTGCAAGATAATAATTAAGTTGTTCGTATTATACCAATAAGCAAGAACGTAATATAGATTTTATGAGGCTTAAGTTGTAAAACGCTGAATGTAATTTCACAGTACAAGCAACAAATTTTGTACGTGTAAGTATTATTTTATAAGTAAGTCTTTTGTAAATATTAAAAATCCTTCTGATATACTATTTATTTGAAAATTACAGCGCATTAAATTACAGTGCACTTTAACTTTGAATGAATGACCTGTAAATGCAATAAAAGTCTACAAAAAAATAATTTTTTGCTAACGATCCATTTGATCAAATCCCTCGAAGGAAGGAAATACAAGAAAACAATACTTGATTATGTAAAAATTATCGTGGATCATCAGTGTATTAAATTAAACTTACTAATGAGCTATATTTTAATGTTAGTAGTGAATTGAAAAATTCAATATTAAAAGATATTTAAAATATAGCAGTTACAATATTTATGTAGTACATAAAACTTTCCGCTTGGTTCTAGTTAAGTTTCCTTCATAAGGATATTCCTAATCACTATGGTACAAGCAATAAACTTAAGTTGCTTTAAATTTCATAGTGTCATAGAATCTAGATGGAGGACATATTATAAATTAATTCTTGGAATTTCGTTCATAGTTTAATCAAATAAAATTCGATTAAAAAGAATTACAAATGAAGTATTACCTCTTTAATGGGTCAATTTAATTACGAACAATCATAATAATACCAAATTATAATCAAATACTAAATAAGTACACCGTAAGAATAAGAATCAATACGTTGTTGATTATTTGAATAAACTTCTAGCTATTCGAATAACATCGAGCAGACATTGTTGGTTTATAAATTCCCAAGAAACAGGCGTATTCGGTTATGACTGTTTCTTACGATCGCACCACAAGCGGTGGCGCAAGTTTTTGGCGAGATAACGAGCCGGAATTTGTCAGTATCGGTGGTATCCGAAAGAATTACTGGGAACGACACGAGAATTCTGATGGTCTCGCATTCCGATTAACCAATTACGCCATTTCGACCATCTCTTATCCCTGCTTTCTTTCCATGTATGATTCCCTGATTTCATCGTGTACATAGAATACGAAATTTCGTTTCGTACCATACTCTTACAGATTTCGTGTACCTAAGTTGTACTTTATACGTGAGAATACTCGTTACACGTGAATTCACTTTTTTTTTGTGTTTGAGAGGAATGCATGGTTTACGCTTGTTTCTTAGGAAATGAATATTTATTGATTTTATTTTGAGTTCCTCTTTTCTCGTCCCTTCTGAACAATGATTTAACAGTTTGTAATATCTGTTAGCAAACTAACGAGTTAGAATTTATAAATAATGTTAGAAAACTTTGCAATTCTATAGTATTAGAATTGTAATATTATGATACTTATAACACGAATATTAAATAAAATGATCAGTTAATTTACAAAATTTATTTATTATATAAGCTACATATTCTCTTTCAAATATTCGTTTGCAAATTAATCACTAATTTTCATCACCAAAGAATTCGATATACATATACTTACATTGACTCTAGAGATATGAGAGTAATTAATGATGATTAATAATTCAGTACACGTTATCTTACATTAAATTCCATGGAAGTCTTATAGATTTGCAAATATATAAACCAAAGTTCGTGTGTTTTGTGTGTATTGCAAACTTTCTTCCATTTCTTGCGTTTTAATTCCTCTTAACGCGTCAGTTCTTGAATAGCCAAACAAATCCGATCCCCGTGCTAATTAGAACGAATGAAAAAGGCTCGACAAAGTCAAAAGCACCACGCCCAGTTTCTAACTGAACTGGCAATAAGTAAAAATATCTGTCGCAATTATCGCCGGTTTAGAGTATTGTTTCAACGGGACTTGCTTATGAAGCTGCTAATCGTCTGGCCTAATACCTTTGGAGGATGTGAGGATGACTTCGACTAACTGATCCGAACTTTGTGTTTTCTTTAGCCTAGATACACTTACCACTGTTCTGTTCGATGGCATAAAAAATTCCATTCATTTTAAAGAAACCTTCCGTCAATTTGCCAGTCGTATCTCTTGCCATTAAGTCCTTATTACGACAGAAAACAGTTAAAGGCTCAAATTGGCTAAAACAACGATATTACAAGTGTAACGTCGTTACCGTGTTTAGGATTGACGCAAACAATTCTTTTTGACACAGGAGGGACGACATGAATGGAGAGTAATACACATGTAGCGAAAAACAATACCCGTATTATATTTATTTATGTGTAGTATACCCTCCTCATATTCGAACTTAATAGATAGATGATTAATTGAATTTTCGAATAATAGGATAACCACTTTATTAATGGATGTGATAAAGACCAATGTAATATTTAATTTTCACTTTTTTTTTGATCAGTTTTTATTTTTTTAACGTTGATGGAATTCCAAGGAATTCCATTTAACATTTTTTTTCATTATTACGTCTTTCGCTTGGGTTCTATTATTTTTCAAAATTTCAAGTTTCGATTCAAAATATGATTGATCAGAAGTTCCAATAGAATATTTATTTAACTTAAAGAATTAATTTTTTATAATTACAATTTAATAATTAAATTTTTTTTAAATATTTATTTAACTTAAAAAAAATCATTGTTTCCTTCTAAGAATATTACGAGAAGACCCGAAATAAGAACAGAGAGTATAAGAACAATGTAGATCTTATTAGATATAGATTTAGTCAGTTAAACATTAATACAAGAAAATTAACGCGTGCAAATATATCTTTCGCATTTCAATCGACAAACTTTTATCAAAGTAATCACTCGATACCATACACTTGGGTCAAAAGACAAATAGCGTGATTAAAAAGTCAAATACGACCGTTCAAAATGATCAATGATCTATAACCTAATTTACGAGTGAAATCTTCCTAGACGACGCGACGATGCGTAAGAGTTGTAACAATTAGGGCTTTTAGCGCTGCACGTTGGATTTGCTTAACGTTTCTGGTGATACAGTTACCAGTAACCGAACAGTATGTTTGAACTGGACCCACGAATCGTTCAGTCGCCTCTTGGAGTTTATCATCGACGGTTCTTCGGCCGAGGTCCTTGTCGAGAAAGATTTCTTTTTGAAACGATACACGCTCCATGGTGCTACGAGATCGATGAACTCGCGACCACGGGACCACAAGGAATGAAACGTTCGTATCGAGGGATCCGTCAATGGTGAATCGTTGTCGTTTCCATGAATTGGCGAGGCAGAATTGACTGAAAGTGTATACAGACACTTGTTCACGAATGAGAGGCAGAGAACGTGCCTTTTTACGAGCGACGAGGATCCCTTGAAGAGCTTGGTGCGACCGAACGAGTAAAATTATGGGTAGATATTGTTCGATCTATTCGCAGATTCTATGTAAATTCTTAGGATATGAGAAATTTGTTAATAATCAATTGCAAAACAGTTCATTTGTAGAACAGTAATAGTGAGAGTTCTATAATTTAATTAACGTGAACCGCGGATCGCGTGCAACATGAGAAATTTAGTAATGATTCATTGTTTAATAGTGAAGCAGTAACGACGAGAGTTACTGTACGCTAATGTATTTAATATCAATAGTGTACGTGTAAATATTCCATATAAATACTGCTGACAAGCCACACTGACCAATAAATTGTAATGAATAACTTTCTAAAATTTTCTTACGATAAATAAACTCTAAATAATACAAGTCATTTGGAAACTTGTAATTTTTAGATTTATGGAAAAAACGAAGTTGAAATAACATAAAAAGTGGTCAAGATCAGTTTAAATTTAGAATAGAAGTATTATGTATGTCATAGCCATTAATAGATCTTATCTCTAATAAAAGTCTTTTCTATTTCAGACAGAGTACAAACAAATTTAGTTTATCACTGTTTTCTGCTCCTTGCTTGCATTTCCCATGCTTCAGCAAGTGAATTGACTTTCGACGAAGTTGATGCACTTCCGGAAACCAACGAATATGAAGATGCTTCGATGATCAATACTGCTCTACAAGCATACAGGTTACTACATTGAAAAATTATTTTTATGAAATTTAATATGATTAACCATTGATCTCATATCCAGAAGAAGAAAATAGATCTTTCTCTCATTGTAGCAAATTTTCTCATGTTTCATTCTGTGTTCATTTTAGTTTTGTAACTTATTCTAATTGTATTACTATTTTTATTATTTCCTTCTATACTCAATAAATCTTTATCATTGTTATCCACAAGGTAATTTAATTACTTAAATTTTAAGTGTTCAAGTAAAATTATAAATATTTATTTCTGCTTGACTTTCGTAGACAACCACGAATGTATCGACGCGGTTACCACGAGGATCACGGGTCCATGTATCAGGATGACGACGATGATCACCACGGTAATCATATGGAGGATGAAGAACACGCTATGAAAGCCATGGAAAACGCGAGAGTCGATTATTGGGGCGGTTATTACGATTTCCTGATAAACGAGGGTAGTTATAAATTCTGGGCCGTGTTTCAAGTAAGTTTCAATTACTTTTTACGAATTATACACGCTATTTGCCGTAAGTATTAGAACGTTTGCTCGTTACGTTTATTAGAATACTTCTCCTTTTAACAAATTTTCCTTTTAATATCTTGTATCTGTAATTTAATATCTTGTAATCGTACGAAGGTACTACTAAATTTAATGTACTCGAATCTAATTTTATAATACACACGATCATCCAAAAATCAACCAACGCTTGTTATAGATACACGACAAATACATAAAAGTAGAAACTACTCTATGTCGAAGCAAGTTCTTATCTAATCACAGGATGTACGAACTTAGATCAGAGTAATAGTAACAAATAACGATAATTATGATTTCATTTTAATCGAATAGGAAGAATCGTAGAAGTTGTTAGCAGGTTAGATGTAACCGCATAAACGTTCTCAAGCCGACCATACGAAATTGATTATTATACAATAAACGCTTATAGAGTACGTGCGTTCTTCACTCCACTTCCGTGTTTGTGCGTGGTATCTCCCGCGTCAGGATTTAAACCACATTTCCAAGGAGAAACGTAATATTCTGCATTAACGAAATTTTTCAGAGCATTTAGACGCTCGTCGGTAATTTTAATGCTCCATTTCCACCCGCAAAACTCTCCAACACCGTTAGTATCAAATCCCTCACACTGTCACGATTGTTAGATTGTTGGCTTTTCATTTACTCGAAGCAATTTTTTTTTTGCATTTCTAAAACTTCGTGCGAGATGATCATTTAATCTTTTTAATTGTAAGTAGAGTTTCCTTGGAAACGCTCTATTAATTAAAAGTACCGATGTTCCTCGATGATGTTAACCGTGAAAGATATTTTTTCGTTTCGATTGTTAAAATAGTTGCTAAATATTTTAATGTAATTTTATTATTGAAGATAATATTGTTATATGACATGTAGTAATCTTTACACGAAGAGTGTACTTCGTTAAGTAATTTTTATTACTGACAGACGATTCTGTTAATTGAATTACTTTATTATTACTAGGGTCAAATTAAAACAAAATTAAAACAGATGAATACGTCTCAATTTGTTATATACGAGAGTAATTTGCTATCATAAAGTTAAATTTTTTTTTTAAATTAATCAATTTAAAAAAAAGTTGTTTCTAATTTGATATAACACCATCTATTGTCCAAGGACTAATATAGAAAATAATAGAACTATATGTTTATTCTTTAACAGCTTGCGACAGCGGCCCTTCTTATCTACAGCGGCTTCGCGGCGCTTTATTACGCCAAAGTGAATCCACCACCAATAGACGACGAGTTCGATATTTTACGTCGACGAAGATCGTTGTCCATCTTCCCGCGAGATAGATCGTTCTGCGGTTTGGACAGTGTCACTTTTCAAAGGATAATCGACGCGGTTGCCAGGGAAATTCACTGACAATAAAGAACTACTCTTATCTACGAACTCTATCTTACATATAATAATTTTGAAACAATATCTTGTCGAAATTGAAATTGTTTGATTCATAGAAGATTATTGGAAAGAAGGATTAATCTCGTGGAAAGTTAATTCTATTCAAAAAATTAATCAAAGTTAGTAATCTTTTCTTAAAGTTAATAATCTTTTCTTTGTTTGATTTATAATATCTGTGCGTCCCTCTTTTTCGTTTATCGATGCAACAGAGGAGCACTGCCTCATATTTTTGATTCTGTTCGTAATTAATTTATAACAATTACTATTAGATTGTATTGTAATTTGTGTATGTATATATATATGTAATTATATACGTCTCGTATTATTAATGCATTTGTTTACATTCCATTTTTCGCAGATTATTTGTACGAGAAGAAAATACCCGTGTTTTACGTTTGTTCAAATGCTAACATAATTTTCTTAACTTTCATATTCATGTTCGTACATACGTTTGTGACTTTGACTGAAATTTGAAAATGTAACTACAAGATATAGAAATTGCATTCGTCGAGAAGTTTCTACTTGTATGTCCGGATAATAAGTCGAATAATAAAAAGAGATTGAACTTGCCGGTGGCAATTTGGCGAGATCCGTCGTCAAGGACACGCAATACGTTCTCCTTTTTAAATGAGATATTTCGCTCTTCGAAATTAAGCGATCCACCGATTAACACCGCCTTATTAAAAGATCTCGCGGCTCGTGGTAAATTATCAGCGCGGTAAGCACACACGGAGGCTTATGGCTGAATGCCGACGAAGCCGGATTTCTCGGAAAAATGCAAACAGATTATATACGCAGGGGAGATTTTGCCAGGCGATTCGAGTGTCACGCGCTCGCTCGTTGAATCGTCCGGTGAGTAGCCGGGCATCAGCAAAATGTATGCGCGAAAAGATCAAAACGTAATAAAAATCCGCCGAAAAAATGTCGACCGATAAATCAGCGACGGTTGTTGCGCCCGTGCGTCGTGCTCGGTGTACACATTGTACGTATGCATCCTCGATCGTCTGTAAAAGTTTTATACGTGAACACGTACATACGCGCGCGATACGCGCGGTTCAAGCTCGCAGGCAAATTTTCTTGTCGAACAACGCAACGTAACGAGGGGCCCTCGAGCATCTTTCCGGAAGAACAGGAGCGTACTAACCGCGCTACTTGGATTTTTACGTACGTCCGATCGATTGCGAGGACGACACGCTCTTCCTAATCTGTCTTCAGTCTCTTGATTGTACGACAGATGCACTTGCAGGGCAGTTACAAAAGACGGTGGTACCTAGTTTCATCTTTCGTTAGTCTTTATATTATATTACAATTCCCAAGTCTTGAATAGATTGCATTGGCATTTGTACAAGTTCATATTTTTATGAATGTATTCAATGGAAACTTTATTCCATGGAAACTTTATTTCGTATATTTTCTGGATTTTCGTAAATTATTTTCCACTTTCAATTCCTGTCCCGATTCCTACTGACGCGCAAAAGTTCACAGTTTGGTCATCGTGATCTTTTTCATCAAAATTTTTATTTCTTTCGTTGTAAATGTTGGATTCGATAGAGTAAAACGAACGAAGCTGATAGCATCTGAGAGAATCTCAAACTTTGAGTCATTTTTTACGCTGTTTACTATCAGGGCATAAAGTTAGCAATAGAAACAAGAACTTTTTTATAACATTTTTTCACTCGAAACTTTATTTTCCACTAACTTTAACAACTTTGAAATATCTCCGCGGTTACACTTATATGGCGATTAAGACTGTTAACGTCCCATTAAAAACGAAAACAGGAAACGCCGATCTGCTTTCCTTCTGACCGTAATGAAACACTCGAAACGTTGTTCCTTCGATCATCAGATCCTTCAACCATGATCAAGGCAATGTCGTTTTGACTTTAACGATCCTTGTTCCTCTCCCTGAAGTAAGTCGATTATATGAGAAAACCATTCAAGACACCATTCTTTGAGGACTCTCTGTTAAGTGGAGATTCTTGTATATCAGAGTTTTGTATATTTACGTATGAAAAAAAGCCACCGAAGGTTCTAGCGGAGCATTAATATCAATATGAAGTATGACACAGCGTTTCTGATATTTATGGAAGTCTGGGATTATAAGCAATTCTTCTGCTCTGTTATACATGTAGTGAAACGTGTATAAGATGAAACATTTAAGATTAATGTCTGAAATATTATTGAAGGTGTTAGTTAAGACACTTTATAAAATGATTATTCAGTATAAATGGCTGAGTAGTTTTTATAGGAAATATCTAGTATTGATTGAAATAAAAATATATGGGCACACTAATTTGTAAAAGGTCTTATTTTTCGAAGTTATGTTTCCTTGAAACAATTTAATTTTCTGGTATATTTGACAATTTCAATATTTCAAGTGACTTTATACATTCCATGTATAAACTTATATGGATCCTAAGATGTTATCATTGTAATTAGTAAGTGCTAAGTCATTCGTTGTTTTCAAAGACTTAATAAATTTTTAGAAAAAGTTTTTTTTTTAATAATAATCATATGTAAATGCATCAATGCTATATACTAACAAATATTCATCAATTTTTATTAAAATACTTATAGTAACGATATTTACAGAACTAGAATTACAGGCAGACTCTTTCGCTGTCTCTCTGAAAATGCAAATCAGTAAAACATACAGTATATACTAGGATCTAAAATATTTTCTACCTGTCAACCTTCTTTATTCTCCTTACAAGTGTTTACTCGCTCATCTTCATCTTCCTGGAAGCCTCGATAAATTCTTGGAAAGAATTATTTTTCCTGTTTACGTAATTTACAAATGCTTAACGATTTCATAGACAGATGGAGAATAATGATAATAAACCCGCAAGGGGTGGTTACTTATTGTTAGTAACTACACGGGCCTGGCAAACCCGCGGACCCTAGCTACACATCAAATTGGTGTGTTTTAATCCAAAATGAAAAGATCTATTGAGAAAAGATGAAAATAACAAAATTGACAATATATTGGATTAAAGAAATTAATGAATACATCATAGAGATATGTTCCAGTTAAAAATAAAACTGATGATGACAATGATCAATGATAACACACAGATGGATAATAGTATTTAACGAACACAAGGATTAATAATAAAATCCTCCCTCTATGCAACATCAAATCGAATGGATTTTACCGACTGGTAGAATTGAAAATTCACGAGACACAAGAACAAAGGAACGCCTGGATTTATCTTCATCTGCAAACGAAGAAAGCGGAGCGGATATCGTTACATTCATAATCCAACGTTGAATTGAAGCTTATCAAGTTCAAATCAACGAATAAGCTTTCTGCACACGAACGGAAACCCTTCTCGTGCACCACGGAGGACCACGTATTCGGGATAAGAAAGCCCTTCTTGCGGCCAAGAACGGAATGCATTAATCGCGACGGTCACCGAACCTTCCTCTGGTTCTTCGGTCCGCGCAAGCAATTAGAAATTGAGTTATATTTCTTGCGCTTGCCGGTGAATAAATTTCGACGATCGTCGCGGACGCGTTCGTCGTGCAGGAAATATATTAACCACGGCGAGTTGGTCGAGCGTGCCGCGATCGACCGCGAATATTTTAGTCGGTAAGATAGAGGAGGAAGGAAGGGGTCCGGTACGGCCCTGCAAAAATCACCCACCCAAGCGTATTCACCAACGCATTCCGCCACGTAGCCGGCTGCAAGGGGTACCTACGGCAAAAGTACCAGCGCGATTATGCGTGCCAGTGTGCTGGATCATATTCGAATAAAAGTTTATTCGTACAAGCAACGAGCAACGAACGAAACATTGATCCCTGATTGTTCTTTTTACTCGTTCGTTCGTCGATTTCATTGGTTCGTTCGTTCTATTTAAAGATATTTAAATTTCAAAATGTTAGATTTGACTACGATTCAAGTTAATTAATTTTTGCTATGAACGAGTAAAAAATGAAGTCTCATTTGTTTCATTTGTTATTCGTTCTTTGTTCATTTATTTTTCTTAGGTATAAAAATATAAAAACTTAGATCTTGCTGATAACGCTTTATGTATTAAAGAATAATTTTTGTTAATATTAATGTGATAAAACGTTCTTTAAATAGGATTTCAAATGAGAATTAATTTCAATGAGATTAAGTCAAACAAGTCACGATTAAATCCACAATATTCTGCTACAAAAAAATTCATGCGAAATTTTTGATAGAAGAGGACAAAATTTATGAAACGATCTAGTAACTTTTATATATTTAATAACACGAACCAGTCATCTTCAAGAGTAATAAACCAGCCGACGGGTAAAAGGGTTGAACCTCTCTTCTTCCTTTTTCATTTTCCGTCTTCCATCCGTTTATTGTAACCAACAAAAAATTTTTCAAATAAATCTCCGACCGCGAGGGGAAACGGTAGGGGATAAAAACCGCATAAAAACTGTTATTTAGAACGGGGCGCATCAACGAGCATCGATAATAATTCTCGCGTGGACCGAACTCTCGCCACGGTGAGAGATGATACGCGATGATAATGGCGTTGCACATCGAAACGCGAAATCGCGCGGAGATCGCGAGCACCCTGAAGGCGATCGTGGGGTCCATTAATCGGGGTCCATTTTGTAGAAAAGATTCCTGATCCACAGAGGAAAAATTTCTCAGGAATGCCAAAAACAAAATATACCATCGCTACAACTGAATAGTATTGAAGAATTTTAATATTCGAAATATTTACGTGTTCATATTTTCTAATACAGCATAGATGATTGAACAATACATCACTTATGGCGCAATTGTGGTGAAATTTACATTTGTGATGTTTCATTTCAAACAATTTTGTACACATGCGGATAATTTGTAAAATTTGGACGGAGAGTAAAATATTTATTGTTAGTTCGACAAAATAGTAGAAATACAGCAATCAGAAAACCAATTAGTGTGATTATTACAGAAATGTAGATTGTCAAACAAATAATCTATCATAATTTCGTATGCTGAATTTTGTGCGGTAGAATAGTTTGAATTATTTCAATTTTTATC